ATGAGGCTTTGGGCAACCTGGTGTAGTGGAGGGTGTCCCTGCCCATGGCAGGGAGGTTGGAACTAGATGATCTTTGAGGACCCTTCCAACTCAGACTGTTCTGTGATTCTATAAACCCTTTTCAGTTTATGAGAGACGATCAACTACAGAGAAGACCTGAACTACAGCAGAGTCATCTTCAGGTTCAGCCCTTGGAGACTACTGACCTGGAAGGAAATTAAGGAGGCTGAAAACAGGGCTTGAGACAGGAAACGGGAAGACAAAACCAGCCTCACTTCCAGGATGAACAAACTGAACACACAACATTAGCAAGTGACTGTTGTATTACATGAGCCTTTGTGTTTTGCTTTTGTTTTGTTTGTTGTTTTTCTTTAAGATTCTCCTCTGATTTTGACTGCACACAAGTAACAGCGCTTATTAAAAACATAAACAAAAAGCAGAAACTGTGAACCTAAGTCTAGATAAATTAAATCCTCAAAAATAAGTGCTTTTTGAACTTGTTTCTTCCCTTCAAATCCTGACAGAGCCAGTATTTTATTCTGCTAATCAGAGATACACAGTCTGGCCACTTATCAACACTAATGCAGGGAGATCTGAGAACTCAAACGACTGAAACGGAGTTTGATTTTGAGAATTAATTTTATTATCACTGGAAACACAGCATTATGTTTCTAAAATTATCAGATTCTCAGAAAGGTAGATGTCAGGGGCAGTTTCACAATAGTAAATATTTTGAATTATGGAAAGTTGATTTTTTAGATCACACTTGCACACACAGTCAATTTAAGATGCGGCAGAAGATTTAGGTCCTTAGACTGAATGTCAGACACCCTATTTACCCAAAATGCTGTGGGTATCTGAGTTCGAGTTCGGTGTATTCTTATTTCACAGGAATGGAAAAGGTTTTCCATTCTATGATTGTTTTACGAATGAGTATTTGGAGGAGGTTTACTAAGCCAAATAAATCCTTTAGTGCTGACTTATCTTAGCACCATTTCAGCACTTAATATGTGTATTTAGATTCAAGGCTTATTAGTCTTAGAAAACAAGTTGTTTCCATCTAGGAAACTGCAAGTTCTAAGGATGCATGTATTTTTTGAAACTCTTTGTGGATTACAAATGCATTATCCATTTTCCTCTGTATATTTACATCAAATTAAGGTAGATAAGGAAAAAAAAAGTTTTGTAAATTGCAGCTAGTTTTGTCATGCTCACCCACATCCTGACTGGCTTTTGTGACTTTCATATTTTCAGCCAAGCTGATGATAATATTATAGAAGAGACTCACTTGGCTTCCTTCTATCAGACCTTCCAAGCGACAAGTTCACATCAACTCTTCAAAATATGTTTGCTTCTAGGTCAAATTTTGATTCTAACAGCAGATGGAATGAAGGGGGCTAACAGATTTGAAATACCGCAATCTATTTCAAACAAGAGTCTAGTTATTTCCAGGAATTTTTGGACTGGTAAAATAAAAAAAAACATGGCAGCTTTGGATGGCATACATACCCGTTTTTTGATTTGGTGCTTTCTAACATTGCCATGGTATAAAAGTATTCACTGCTGGATATATAACTTCAGCCTTAAAGTCGTCCTGACTTGGGACCAGTTTCTTTAGGTGACTGATGTGTGTTTAATTCCTATCCTTCATTTGACATTTGATTAGGGAATTGATATGGAAATCACCAGTTCTGTTCAAACAGTAAAAAACAAAGATAACAGCACCAGAGAGGCATTTAGGAAAAGAAACTATTCAAACCTCACTCTGAGAACTATCAAAAGAAAAACATGACTATCAGATCATGGCCTCGAGCTTTTGCAACAGATTACAATTTTATCTGCTAAGCATCAAAGCTCTTCACTAAGAAGAAAGAATATGAGAAAAAATAAGCAGGGTGGACTTCTAGTTATGTTTCAAAGTGCATTTGCAGCTAAGAACTACTTTAAAAGCAGAAGTTATAAGCCAGAGTTTGTTCAAAGAAGGAACCAGATATGAAAGTTTTGAAAATCTCTACTGACATAATTTTTTAATGTGCGCATTAAATACTTATCAGTTTTCTTATCAGTTTTCTGAAGTTTACTAATTAGGTAGATGGTTTTAAACAGAATTGAGGCAAAAGACTTTAAGCAATTATAACTGAACAAGAATTTTAAGTAGAAATAGGATATTTTGGAAAACTTCAAGTCTTTACTAACATCCAGAAATAATATCTGGTCTTGCTTTGTTGAAGTTCTTATGTCATTTTTAACAACTCATGAAAAAGCCTCTTTAAAGGAACACAGAAATATAATGTAAATATCCTGCCATGTAATTTGCTTGTCTATTACACATGACAGTGGTCACTTTATATACTATAATCTTTAAAAAATCTTTATCTATTTTAGGATGTACTTAATTAAATTTAATATTTAATTTTAGGTTATACTCATTTCATACTGGAAGTAATCAATATTTTGTCATTAATGTTCCATCAGAAGATTAATCATTCTACCAGATGTCAATTCTGACTGGTCTTTACTTTTTATAAGCATCTCTAATCCAATTCAGTTACTAAAGACAGCTCCAAGCAAAAAATAAACTACCTCTCTTAGTAACACTATTGCCAATAAATATTGGCTAGAAACAGAAAAAAAAAAAATCTATCAAGATGATGAAAAAATTAAAATATTTGGAATTTGCTTGTTTCTTCCTTGGATTCTAGGAAACAATTCAGAAATACTTGGGTTCCTTAAACACACTTTCTTTAGAAGATTAGCTGTGTATTGGGTTCCTTAAACACACTTTCTTTAGAAGATTAGCTGTGTATTTACAATTTTTCCCTCCTTGAAACTGACCAAGTATCTTGAAAAAGACAGTAATTAGATAGCAATAAGAATCTGCAAGTTTCCATATAAATCAAAGAGCAGTAAGAACCTATAGTTCCAGACCAGAGCACCAAAATACCTGAATCTGCTTTGTGTTCATGAATTTAATCCAGTCCTTCACGTCAGAAACACTGGCCCAGTAAGAAAAATGAGATTTTTCCCAACACTTTAGTTTCTTCTCTCCAGGTCAGTACTGGTTACCACTTCAGGCTGAGAGAGGAAATTTCAGAATCAAGATCTTTTACAGAACTATCTTTCACCAGCTTTTTCTTCGCTTAAGAACGTGACGGTATTTCTGCTGGGCTGAAGCGTGGTGGTTCAGAACAGGGACAACAGCGCGGAGCAGAGACGCAGCAGTGTGCATCATTTCAGGTTTCCTAAAGCTAAACTACGTGAGAAAAGGTCACAGCATGGGCAACCTTCATGTACTTCTGGTATTAAACAGTGCTGATTGACAAGAAGTAGAGTTCTGCAGCAGTTTCTAGAGAGCTTTTACGGGTTTCTCTACAGAAGCTATGAATAACTTAATATCTGAAAGAAAAAAGCCTGGATTAGAGAAACGTGGCTCACATGCAAAGGAGATTATAGTAATAATTTCAAGAGAAAAGCAGTCTCTGCCTTTGGTGAGATAATCATAAATCCCAAAATTAAAAATGCCACAGGCTCCAAAGTTCAGAACAACCGTAAGAAGCAAAAGGCCCTGTCACTTCTTTGAAAGTGTCTCACACAAAGAAGAACTCAAATGGGAGAGAAGAAAAGCACTACAATTAAGATTTGCAGCAAGGAAGATTTATGGAACTGAGGAAATCTTCAATTTACTCTGGGTTTGGTAATGCTTGCTTGATCTACGCTTAAGCTGTATTTAAGAAATGGTGAGCTACAGATCTTGACATCAGAAAGCTATCACCCATGTAGTAGCCACAGGCTACTACATGGAATATTTTTGCATATGTTTCAGCTGAACAGTAGCAGTCAGCAGGTAACATCAAGATAGTGTTCTATTGTCAAAAACTGGGCACAATTTTCAAGTGCACTGCTTGTTTCCACCCTGGTGACATCTGGAATAATATAGAAGTACATCTGCCCAAATATTTTCAGTATTTATAGTAGAGGTGTCTGAAACATGATTATATCAACTGACTTAGTTAAACCACCACAGTGAAGTCTTGTCATCCTGAGGAATGTTCATTTTAATAGCCTGCTGCTAGAAACAAGTCAAATGGTAAAGTTAGCATTGTATGATTCCTAAATCATACCAAAAACTTACCTGCTACTCTTTCATCCGTTTCCCTATTGCCATCATCTGAGTATCTTGCAAAATCTAAGGAATCAAGAGTACTGATGCTTCCGGCACGATCTTGGGGTGGGAGAAGAAGGGAGGGAGGAGGAGAAAAAAAAAAAAAAAAATCAGAAAAAATCCTGATGGGTTAACCGGCTTTGATAGAGAAAAGTCATAACATATTCTCTTTTCAGAAACTATAAATCAAAGGCTAAGTGTTCTGCAAGACTCAAATTGTACCGTGCTTTCTAAAAGTCTGTCTCTTAGCAGATCAATAACTAGGAGAAGGGTATGTCGGTAAATTGGAAAAAAATATAGCTGTTCAGTGAACAGACACGATAAGAAATTCACCCTTGCTCCCCAAAAGGTGGCATTTCTACCCTGTCCACGGCAGATGAGGAGCAGTGCAGTGGAGCATGTCCTCTTTTTCCTCTTTTCCACCAGGGACCTTGCTTGGACACACGGTGAGCATGCACAAGAAACCAGACACAAACTCTCCTGCGACAAGTTTCAAGCAGTTCTGTTCCCATTTGACAGAAACCTGCAACTGCCCCAAATCCGTTACTGCCTTCTCCCTTTTTTACTATTTTAAGTTAACACGACCAAATACTTTTCTACATATCTCCTGATCTAGCCATTAACTTCAGTATACACCCATTTAACAGAACATTCACCAAGAAATGCATTACCTAGCAAAATTAAAGAAATTTCATGCTATTGCAGATATAATATTCACACTCTAGAATTGTTAATAAAAAAATAAAGAAATTCAGTGACCAGCATAAAGTTTTGATCTGACTTTGACATTTTTCATTTCATAGAAAAAAAAAATCAAAGAAAATGCAATTTTGATAATTTCATGTCTGTTGAAGCACATTCTCCTTTTTATTAGAAAAACATGTGAAGAAATTACTCTGTGACAGAACCCAAAATAAATAGAACTCATGCCTAACACAATTGAACACGCAGAAATTATATTAAATAACTTAGTATCTTTCCCCTCCTTTTGAAATTAATTTCCATGTAGCCCTTCAGAAATAATTTTAATTACATTAGCGCTGTTGTCATATTAACAAAGACCAAATTCCATATGGCTGTCAAAAAGAACAGTAACTGTCAGTGAAAATAGAAGCAAGTTCATCACTTGTCAAATTCTGTCGTGACTAACATCACAGAAAGTATTTAAATCTCTCCCCTCAATTCTGCATTGTGTCAAAAAAAAAGAATCTATTAATGAGTTTCTTTTTTGAACGTTTAAGCCTAAAATGTCCCTTAAGGTCTTGTGATATCCTGCCTACATACAGGATTGAGACAGATTCAAGCACCTACACTCACTTGAAAAGCTCAAGAGAATACCAAATTTGCCAACTCCAGCCAAGTTACAGTACCAAAACTAAAGCATCTGGGAATCCCAATTCGTCTGTTTTAGGGATGTGAAATACAGGGTAGTATTCAGTTTATATTTAACCACAACTTTTTTTCCCCATGATTATGCTTTGTCATCCAGGCAATGAAACAGATTGTTGCCCCTTAACGAGTCTCTATTCAGTATTTCATTTTAAAACTCACTGTTGCAGGTTCTAGTCTTGTCTGCCGTATTTTTTCCAGACACTAATCCGTTAAATAACTCACTCTAGGCTGTTCAATAGTGCTTAGCAGCACAGCACAAACTCTTCTTTTTACGGCGTCTTTGCAGGATGGACGGTTTTTAAAACGAAGGAGATTTCATATATGAGGAACGACAGTCAGAGTGGTCAGGTTCAAATATCAACAGATTTTGCCTGCCCAGCATGCAAGTCTTCAGAGCTGACTTTTCAAAACACCTAATACGCTGTTCAGCAATTACTGCTCCAATGTATTTCATTGGGAGCTGCATGATTATTTTTTGAAATAAAATTCAAGACTCGAGTTAAAGAAACCAAGATTCTGATGGAGATCTCAATGAAAAGCTGATGTTTAAGGGACCTGGCCTCAGATACAGCACCGCTATGGCAAATGCAGAAAGAAAACTGTTTCTTCCTGCAGTCTTGCCATGTTCACAGCTTGATTTTCTATTTCTCTTATGAAGTAAGCAACATCAGAGAAGCAATACTCAAATTTTCAAGTCAAGTCAACCACATCATAATTATTGAAGCATTCAAAGCTGTAAGCGACAAAATCTTTTTTGTATGATTAATGACATGGTTTAGAGGTCAAGGCTCTCCTCCAACAACTGGCAAAACAAATCCAGCCATAAAACACCAATTTATTTGGCAAATCAGTCAGATGCTTCTTAAAAAAAAACCAGTTGTCTAGAGAAAAGCATGGAGTAACCAAAGCCTGTATCAGGATATACACAACGGAAGCCATTTAAGATCATCCCAGCAGCTGTAAATCCAACAATTCACAATTCCCAGCCTGTGAATATCAGTTTTACAACCTTAATGGTCCTTTCTAAATAAACCCAAGAGTTTTTCTTATTTGAACACCCAGAAACTACCTTAAGCACCACATCTACAGGCACGGCAGCAATTTGCAGGGTTGAAACTCGTACATTCACTGTTTCACTTTCTCCTTATCACGATCACAGCAAACATCTGAGACTCTCTTTACATACAGGCTGGCACTATAAAGAGACACGAGTAGATGGGTTCAGATTGATTAAACCAAAGATGGGCTGAGAAGCACCAGCCTCATGGCCTGTTTTCCTGCTACCATCATTTCCCCTCTCCCAGTGCTGCTGACCCTCCTTCCCGTTACAAAAGCACTTGCCCCAGTTATCACCATCCCCCAAGCATGCTGTCATGACTAAACCAAGACAATCCGAGTGCTAGAAGTATTTATGTCCAGTGTTCAATCTGAAGATGAGGATTAAAATGAAAACTGCCTTCACGTACCGCACTGGTGGAACCTGAATACAGCTATCCAAACAAATGCCGAGGGAAACGAAACCGCACTAGAGACAACCGTATACACACGCAGGCTGAGCAGCATCTTCTCAACTGAGTGTCCTACTAGATGATCCATACTCCAGAACTCAAATGGAGTTGGGAAATCATAGCTTCCATAACACAACTCAAAACAAATTGTTAGCTTGAATCATACAATCATAGAATGGTTTGGGTTGGAAGGGACCTCAAAGATCATCCAGTTCCAACCCCCCTGCCATGGGCAGGGACACCCTCCACTACACCAGGTGGCTCAAAGCCTCATCCAACCTGGCCTTGAACACTTCCAGGGATGGGGCAGCCACAACTTCTCTGGGCAACCTGTTCCAGTGCCTCACCACCCTCTCAGTGAAAAATTTCTTCCTTAAATCTAATCTAAATCTCCCCTCTTTCAGTTTAAATCCATTGCCCCTTGTCCTATCACTACACGCCCTTGCAAAAAGTCCCTCTCCAGCTTTCCTGTAGGCTCCCTTTAAGTACTGGAAGGCTGCAATAAGATCACTCCGGAGCCTTCTCTTCTCCAGGCTGAACAGCCCCAACTCTCTCATAATGTAACAAGATTTCTGCTGCTGCTTTCTTAGAATCATAGAATTTCTAGGTTGGAAAAGACCTTAGAGATCATCCAGTCCAACCGTCCCTAATCCTGCATTAAACCATGTCCCTAAGCAGTTCATTCACCCTCTTCTTAAACACATCCAGGGACGGGGACTCAACCACCTCCCTGGGCAGCCTATTCCAGTGGCTGACAACCCTTTCAGAGAAGAAATTCTTTCTAACATCCAACCTGAACCTCCCCTGACTAAGCTTATACCCATTTCCTCTTGTCCTATCACCCATAACTAATGTAAAGACCCCTTCCCCCACTTCCCCACCATCCCTTCTCAAGTACTTTGAACTTTGCTGTAGGATACTGCCTTTGAAATATGTGATGTGGCTACAGAAGTGGCTCCTGCTGTTAAGGTAAGAGGCCACCAGTGCTGAAGCACTTCAGCTGAGACATCTCCTGACCAAACTGCCTCCACAGGCATCAATGAATCAAGCCCCAGCTATGGGGAAAGCCCAGTCAGACACTGCTGCACTGCCACAGCTCCCACTGAAGCAGGTGCTTCCAGCAGTGGGAAGGGAAGTGGTGGGACCTGTTCCCTCTGCCTTCAGCTCTGGTGCATCTACTTCTTTCTGCTACCCATCTGGAAAGATGGGCTTCCACCACAGCCAGGCTGGGTGACGTCCAGATGGCAACTCAACCTCCTTGTGCTCACCTTACAGAGCTTGTAGTACCACACTGCCTTCCCCTGCCTCGGCTACACCAAAGTCTCTGCCCCCAGGCACAGCTGCTGCAGAGTGGGCAAAGGGACCTGCCCCATCTATCGAATGCCACAGCAGCACTAGCACTAGTGACCTGGATCTTGTGCCACTAGGACTAGGAGAGATGAATTTTGGAGCTGTTATTGCACAACATATTGAAGGAAGCTTCTGAAGGAACAGAGTCAAGTGCCACAAGAGAACTTAGTGGATTTAAATAAAGAGAGATTTCTGATAGAACCTACGACGGTATCAGCCATGGGATAACAGGTGAGAAGACAAAGCCAAATGAGACAGTTAACTGAAAATATCTCCGAGGAAGGTGAGGGCTGGCAAGTCTGCCAGATAGATCAACGGTAGAGTCACAGCACACATGTGCTGCCTGGCGGAAGACTGTCCCATCGCTTCACCTACCTAAAAAGTCATTGTGGGGGTAACTGGATCTGTTGCCTTGCTCCTCACCACTTTCTTTGCAAGCAGTCATCTGTGAAGGTTTATCTCCTAAGACTACCGCCATCCTCCCGAAAACTACGGTATAACATCTTATAATCTCAACTGGTTTGTTGAGTGGAAGTATTCCATGAGTGGAAGTATTTCAACTAAAGCATTCTAAAGAGAACTGCTTTCTGAACTAATGGGGGGAAAAGAAAAAAAAATTAAATAAAATCAACATTTTTAAGAAACAACATATATTTTTCACTTTATTTTTTTTTAATAAAAAATAAAAATCTTAGATTTGAGTTATTTGACAAAGAATAATCAAAGCAGAATCTTGCAGGGGGAAATCGCTGAAAAGGAGAAGTATGCTTTGGCCGAGTTCCACGTCTTTTCTAGAAAAAAAAAATAAATCCATGTGACACAGCAGTGGGATGCCATTTTACTGGCACGATATGCGCATTCTTACCAACAATCTTCTGCTCATGGATGTTATATTTCTTTCTCTAGCATTCTGAAGTAAAACACTTTCCTTTTTAATCAGCCATTCCTTTTTGCTAAAAGCTTTCCTAGTAAATAATGAAAAAATAATTGCTGCCAGTTTAATGTTTCAGAAACGGTGAAGCAACGTAACAAGAACAGTTTTGACAAGCTGGTATAAACAACTCCAGAAAGCAAATCATGGACTCACGGACTGGTTTGGGTTGGAAGGGACCACTATATAATACTGCACATATGCTATATGGAACAAGAGAGTGCCACAGGTGCACAGAAAACACGTGAAATAGGCTCAGGTCTTTCATCGCTCACAC